TGAGTACATTACAAATTTAAAAATTTTTCAAATTTTTTTTTAGATTATATTTTCATTCCATCGTAATATACATAATTCAAATGCCAAGTTCTTTTTCAAATAAACGTAAATCTGTCGTATATCGTTACAACTGAATTTCTAACTGATTTCGCGTGATTTTTTTTTTATATCTTAAATTTAAATGGCTTTTGAACCAAAAATATCTATTTTCTATACTCATATCCTTCGGTTCATCGATATAAAAGATAATGAAAATAACATTTATGATATTGTGAATAAAATATAAGAATTTCACATTTTCTCCTCCTAAGCTGTTTGGCGGCTCAAAGAACTTCAAAACAGAAGCAGCTGTCGTCTTGCAATTAGGGCGCATATCGCTTCAGTAAATATTGATTTTCATGCTGTTACCTTTTAGGCCACCTGAATTAATAATGAAGAACGGATGTACAAAAATGGTGAGAAAATCTTTGCAACAAAATTTGTTATTGTCATTTTCGATAAGCCTTGAAGCCTTGAAAGTCTATGCCAGTTAGCGCAATCATATCGATTTACTTCAAGGATGAATGGGTACGACAACAGCCAGACAGACAGGCCTGGCGTATACGTGATTATTGCTAAGTGGGAAGTTATTGTAGTAGGCAAGTGAATAACGGTGTTTTTGCAATATCAAAAAACCAACAAAAAAAAAACAAAAATTACACAAAGATATCCTTGAAAAATATTTGATGCTTTTAGTTTGATGTCGTTGTGTGCTTTTTTTTGTTGGTTACTGGTTACATTGTTTTGCAATCAGTGCAAGCTGAGAGAAATAAATGAAATTCAAAATAGACACATCGAATGATTGTGACTTGTTTGTCACAACTCGACTAATATTCTTCATTCATTTCTGGTGTCATTATGCGCCTGTCTGATTATATCCCAAATGGGTGTATGTGCATTTTGCTGGTAAAGAAGATATTAAATAAACAAACTGATAAGACGAAAAGAAAGAACAAAATAATTTCTGAGATTTATTTTCTAACTGCAATATCTACTTCGATTCTAAGATATAATGATCAGAAGTTTTATTTTAATACTCTATCCTTCTTTTCACATGTCATTACTGTTCTTCGGTTATTTATGTACTTTATTTCCCCCTCTTTGCAGGTGGCTACTACTCCATTGAACAAACAAAAAGTCGCCTTCGTATAATTGCTCTGAATACAAATTTCATGCGTCACGATCACAAATCGCAGCCTAGCCATTTGGCAGCTGTGCGACAGCGCACTCCGAATGGTGCAGGTGGCAACGGCGATTCAGAGTATAAGACGTATTACTACCACCACGGTTCGATACATCAACATCACGGACATTCTTCCAGTGACTGGATGTCGCATGGTGGTGGCTATGGTGGCTATGGCGGTGGACATCATCGCGGCATGAACGCGATTCCGGCGTTAAGCGTAGGCGATGGGGGTGGGCGAGTGAGTGCTTTATCTGAATACGAGACCCAGGATGCTGAGAAGCAATGGGTGTGGCTGGAAGAGGTGCTCATCAAGTCGAAAGATAATAAAGAGACTGTAAGTTTTCACTTTTTGGCTTTTAAACTGTAATATGTACAAGCATAAATTTATGCACTTACATGTATATATATATGTATATGTAGATCTATTGATAGGCAAATATTAATTACGTAATTACAACATTATGAATTTCTCAACAAATGTGGGAAATTAAATTCTCTACATATTTGTATTTAACCATTTTTTTACGAAAAATGCATAATAAGCTTGCAAATAGCAAAAAAAACCAAAAAAACTTAAATTCAAGATGGCGGAATGTTGCCAAATGAAACTTAGGGGCGAGACCTTGGATTCATGATCTACGTGTCAAATAGAAGTAAACTGCATCAAACGAAAAAGGGTAAGTCTGGCAGCCTGGTGTTTGCCAGCAATACAATTTAAAAATTCAAAACTCAAACTCACACACACATTCTCATTTTCAATCTCAAACAACAACAATAGTGTACAATTTAATTTTTATACCCGAGCGCACTTTTTTATTTATTTCGTGAAGTCAATGAAACAAGGTTCTTACTGACTACTGAAACTTACATTTTTGTCGAGTGTTGTTAGTTATCTCGAAAATAACTTTCAGTTTAATAACAATAAATTTCAATATTCGAATGGCTTTTGCCTATAACTTACAACTCCTTTTTTCTTAATTTACTGACTCTGTAAAAGAGTTTTGCATACAAGACACAGAGTTAGATACTCTTTTTAGCGAATTCTTAGTCTTTCACAGTTTTTGCGTAGTTGAAAAATTATTTAAGCCATGAGGAAATATAGATGAACTCCTTAAAAATTGGTACTTTTTTACAGTAAAAGAGGATCTTAAGAATAAAGTTTGTTTCCTGGCGCAAAGAGAGAAACCGAGTTCTAATTAAAATTTTTGAAAGTGAACTTCAAATTAAAAGTTATTTTGAAATGAAACGTATAGAATTCTTTGACTATTTAAACACTGAAAATGGGAATGATCCCATTATTGCTATTCAAAAATTTCATAAATATAAAATAATTAATTGGCTCCTGTGTACGATGATGTGTACACTCATGTTAAAATTAATAACATTTTTATATTTTATGAACTAATAGTGAACCCGTATGGCGTTTTTGTTTAAAATATTGTTTTTATAAAAAAAGGTATTTTTGCTTTTAAATGATTTTTCTCAGATTTATACATACGAAGTATACAAATTGCATATCAGAAGAAAGCGGATTTAATCACGTTTACGACGATATAAATTTTTTTAAAAGCAGTTTAAACTTGTTTGAAATGTAAGGTTTTTAATTTTTCGAACCTTTAACCCCTTTATAGCACCTGTAACATAGAAAAAGTTATATATCGGTGAAATAAGAGAAAAAGGCGTACCACGACTATGTTTTTACTTTTTTTAGTAGTTTACATACAGTAATTAAAAATAATTTTTTACCAAAGGTCCAATTTCGAACTTCGAAGGCCCATATCTCGATTTCGGAGGCTATCTTCGAAAAACGGAGAAATTACTTTTATACCTATGACTCAATCTCTTAAAAAAAAGTTGGTTTGGTCCAATACCCAGAAAAAAAAGTTGATTTTGCCGTACAGTGTTATTGCTATTCAAAATGTCACAAATATATAATAATTTATTGGCTCCTGTGTATAATGATGTGTACACTCATGTTAAAATGAATAACACTTTTATTATTTATGAACTATATTTTATTTATATACCAAAATATATAAATTATTTTCTGTTACTTACATTTATAATTTTGCTTTGAATACAAATGTACTTAAAAGTACTGATTTTTTTAGAATGAAAAAGTCTAATGTACTGATTTCGCGCATAAAAAATCTGACAACCCTAGGATGAAATAAAGGCATAAATTTTAAATGTATATCATGATATGCATGTCCAACGAAAGAGTTTGTGGTTTGAAAATATTTTGCAGAGGGTTGCCACCTTGTTACAATGTTAGATTCAATATAAGCAACGACATAACAACATAAATCGTAATTGCTTTGAAGAAACTTTATTTCCAAGCTGCATATAGGAGTGTTGCCACCTGATTTGATATTTATATTAAATTAAATTATATAAAATATTGAAATATTGGTGTCAAACAAAAGAGTTTTAAGTAAAATATAGTCTCAGCATCAGTAACATTAAAGAGGGTTTCCACCTGTGTAAAAGGTTAAATACAAATTATTTATTAATTCAAATAAATTATTAAAATATGGGTATAAATTGATATTCGTTAGAAATATTTTTTTCTTAATTTTATTTAAGAGGGTTGCCATATGATTTATAAATTAAATTCAACTTGAATTAAGGGAATCACATATACAATTTAAATATGTCTCGCAATATGTGTGTCAGTCGAAAAAGGTTTAACAAAGTTTTGGTTTTAAAATATTTTGAATAGGGTTGACACCTGTTTTGAAATAAGAATTTAATTATAGTATGCATAAGTTAAATGAAATATTAAAACATGACGTGAAACGAAGGTGGTAGATGTCTTTAGTTTGCATATACATAATATTAAAGATGGTAAAGTGAATCTGTATTTAGGAGCTTTGTTACGTATTTAAAAAATAAAGTTTAACTTAATTCATCAATCACATGAAATATGTATCACAATATCGGACGCAAGCCCATGGTACTTGTGATTGAAGTTAATGTGGATCTGCTTCTTTATTGCTAAGTATTAATATTTTGCAATTCATATTGATTTATTAAATCCAATTCAATGCAATCAAAACGAATATTTCATGTACCGTGTTTAACTAGAATGTGATCTTAATAATATCACGTATTCTACGTTTAAGTTTGGCGGTCAAGGCGAAGGCGCTGAACGGATCCTTTTTCTGTTTTCTAGAAGGCGATCTAGTTTTTCCATACACACACAGTGTTTCTGGGTCATTTTGAACCTAATTATTATTTAGCAAACTGTAAAGAATCTGCATCGGATAATATTGGCCACCGTGCTTACTCAACAATTTTTCAAAAAGTGACAAAAAGAAACCCATAATATTGTGTTATTATTCTGACAACAGCTTTCTTTATATTAAAAGCATTTCATCCTTAGATGCTGAGTCATGAATGCCATTTTAACCCCCAAAACGCCTTATTGTTAAAAATCTACCCATGTATTCTTTATTCATTAAGTACAGCGGTTTCTGCTCTGATTGACTTTGCAGCAAGTTTTATATACACAAAAAGCTTATCAAATCACTCTTTATATTCTTAACGCAGTCAATATACTAACCTAAGTACGCTGCTCGAAATCTGGGCTCGAACTGTAACATCCATTCACGGATCGAAAACCATACAAAAAAAAAAAATTACGTGATACCGTCAGTCGTATAAGATTTATCCCATATAAAGAGTACGTTCACGTATGTCATAATCCGAAAAATATGTTTTAACGTGACGAGTAATACGATATCGTATGTGACGATTCGAGCCTAGGACACCAGGGCATGAATCACGTATGACGACAATCGTCTGAACGATATCGTGTCGAGATTGTCTTGCTTCATGAAAACGAAAAATTGTCTGATCGATTGTGTGATACCGTCAACTCGATTCCAGTTTTGCTTCACGTAACAGTAACAGTAACACGTAGCAGCAACACATATGCATAAATCATTGTTTTGGTGACGTCGTTTTGTCAGTATCGTTTGAACGACAATCGTTTCAAAGTTACGTGATTCATGCCCAGAGTATACATGCAAAAGATCTCGATTAAAAGCAAAGAGGAAAGGGGAGAACGAAAAATTACACTGAAAATGGCACAACGCCGAAACCGGTTTGTCTCCAAACCAAACATGAGAAGAGATGACGGAAATTCGTTTCAAAATAAATCAGGAAAGAGATAGTTTACGACAATATTACATCAGCCGAAACACCAATAATGCACGTAATCATAGTATATTCTTTGTTCAAAGTATTTCTACAGTGAAAGTATATATTTTAGGTCGATTTTAAGCGGTCGTTATTCATATACCCACATATATATACTTTTCATATCAATTCAAGTATATTTAGCTGATTCGCTTGAAACGTTTTTTATCGGGGGTTTTTGTAGTTGTCTGAAATCAGATTTTAAAATTTCAAAATGCTGGATCCAAATTGGCAGAAGAATTATGCCAGCCATAAACGTTGCGATGTTGGTCCAACTCGATTCGTAGTCAAGTTGGACGTTTTGCTCGCAAACGTTAAAATTTTGTTATGCAATCGCATTGTACAATCTCATTTTTACACTTTCATAGTTCCGGCATACACTTGTAAAACGAGCATTTCGGTTATGTTATCCATTCTGGGTTATTTATTTAGGGCCAAATTCACAGTGCGTAGTTAACTCAGAATCGGCAGTTAACTACAGATTTTCAGTACAAAAATTAACAAACAAAACGAACACATATTATTTTGTGCAATGTGGTTTCCGCGAAAATAAGCACAAAATAGAATAACGTTGTAAAAAACTCTCATTAACCTGCATGCGCTCGGGATGGAAAACTCGCGTAGACTGTCGGCAGTGTACATTTGTAGCAAGCGCTAATTTGTAGTGACAATAATTTAATCATATGAATAAAACACTGCTTATGCCAACTGCTATACTTGTGTGCACATATTTATTAAACAAAAAAACATAATGTTAAACACAAATTAAGGTGAAAAAAATAAACTTCTATTCATCGAACAGCATTTACCGAAAGTCTAAGTGAGAATATGTGCGTTGAAAACTCGAGTCTTGTTTTTCAAACGCAAAATTCGTCTGCATAACACCTACTTAAATCACATACGCAAAGTCGTGATTACAAAAAAACATGTGCGTGTCACAAATATAAAAAATTTGTATGCGGGGTAAAAAAGTGATGCGACTTTCCATTCATATTACAACGTGCGACAAAAACCAAAAAATTTCAAAACACACGAAACAACATACTCCCGAAACTAGGGGCCAAATATAGTAAAACTACGTTTTCAGTTTTTCTCTCCAACGTCAATATCTTCCTTTCAAGGACCTAAAAT